CTCCCTGTAAGTACAAAAATGACATTTATCTTGTACAGTTGGATTTAGGACTGAAATAAAAGCATTAACTGCTATAATACCATGCAATACTCACCACTGAAGATCACCTACTTTTTTAGTCAATGGTGGCTTGTAAATTGAACCCCCAAAAGGCTTAATACCATCCTCAACCCTTAAATGGTCTCTCCAGGGCATATCCACTCGTTGTAATTTTTCCTTAATAATCAATATTACACACACTTTATATAAACTCATACCCCCCATTGAATAAAAGAAAATGTCTCGAAATATTTGAGGTAGCTGAAGAGTTCTCCATGTCCAAAAGAGTCTGTGGTATCACCATGCTCTGAAAGCGATCCTTAACATTTGGGACAGTTCATAGTGATAAAAAAGTCCAGTCTTCTTGACTCAATGTTTCTTGAAACTTTTTAAGCAAAAGATGAACTATCCTTGTTGACCTTATGCCCAGTTTCCGAGCAACTGCATTAGTATTGTCCAAGGTATTACCACTTCTATTAGATTCCTTATTTTCACCATCTTTGCATTTATCAGAACCTGTTGTAAACAAGGTGTTGTATCATCACATATATCTAAGTGTGCACCATTAATTAGAGGCTCTTCTAAAAACCAATGTAGAGACTTATGGGACAAAACTCTTCTGGTCTGCAACAAACACCAGGCTTTTTTAATACTCTAATAAAAAGGGGAAATTAACTTCAAATCAAATTTAGAACAGTCTGACCAAAAAAAAGGGTTCTTCCAAATCCCCACCCACCAACCTTACTTAGAAGACAACCAGCTAAGCCAGTCCAAGATACATTTGATTTGTATAAACATTTCTGAACAAATTGTAGCCTAAAGGCTGCTTTCCTACTTTTAAGATCTACAATGCCTTGTCCACCTTCTTCCTTTGGAAGATATAACACAGCCCTAGGTGTCCAGTGTAATTTGTCCCAGAACAAATTGATAATTTTAACTTGCATTTTTATCAGAGTCCCAACAGGAGGCTCTAAAACAGATAATCTGTGCCACAAAGATGAGGCTACCAAATTATTAATGATCAATGCCCTTCCCCTAAAAGACATTTTAGGCAACAACCATTTCCATCTTCCCAGCCTTCCATCAACAGTTTCGCTAATATTCTCCCAGTTTTTCTGATTAGTTAACTCATCACCTAAGGAAAATTGGGTTTTGCCAGGTGATATGAGGTGGTCACAGTGTGGTTTAAAATATCTTGGTATTTACTAAATACCAAGATATTTTAAACCACACTGTGACCACCTCATATCACCTGGCAAAACCAAATTTTCCTCCTTCCATTGTCCCACCAGGAAAGCTGCACTTTTGGCCCAATTAACTCTTGCAAATAAAAACTTCCCATAACTATTCACAATATCAACTAGCTTATTTATATCATTCTGCCCACTAATTAATATAATTTTATCATCAGCATACTCTGACAGTTTTACTGGTGAAAAGAAATGTTCACATTTAAAACCCTCTAACTCTGCTCTAATTTTATTTAACAAAGGTTCCAATGCTATTGAATACAGCATCCCTGACAGTGCACAACCTTGTCTTATGCCTCTGTGAATTTTAAAAGGACTAGACAAGCCACCATTGACTTTCAGTATACTTTCAATGTCACCATAGAGCAACTTAATCATCGCAATCAACTCAGATGGGAAACCAAATTTCTGAAGGGTATGCCATAATAACTGATGTTAAACCCGGTCAAAAACTTTTTTCCGGTCCAGGGTGAACAGACCAACCTTTTGACCAAAGAATCTAGAGACTTCAAACGCATCTCTAATTAAAGATATGTTGTCCACTATCTATCTGTTGGGTGCACAATAAGACTGATCTGTATGAATTACCTGTCCCATCACCTCCCTCAGTCTGTTAGCCAAAGTTTTTGATAAAATCTTGTAGTCGGTGCATAACAAAGCCACTGGCCTCCAGTTTTTAACCTCTTTGAGGTCACCTTTCTTTGGTAGCAGCGTTAAGACCACTTTCCTGCAACTCAATGGCAGTCGCCCTTCCATCAAGCTGTTGCTTAACACTGCCAGCAAGTCTTCTCCCAGAAAGTACCAGTAAGCCTTGTAAAAATCCACAGACAACCCATCTAAACCTGGTGCTTTGCCATTCTTCATACTTTGCAGTGCCTTGAAAAGCTCCTCTTCTGTTAGAGGATGCACCAGACCAGCACACGACTCCTCGGTCACTTGTGGAAGATCTAAAAGGAATTGATTTGTTGACTGGTCCTCCACACTTTCGCAGGCGTACTGCTCCTTATAGAAGCCAACAGCCCTTTTACGAATATCAGATTCCCTAGTTAGATCAATCCCACCCACAGACCGTAAACACTGATGCTTAATGCTTTTCCTTTGGCCATTTTTCTTTTCCAGACTGAAGAAGAATTTGGACGGGGCATTCATTTCAGAAATACTCTGAAATCTAGACCGAACCAAAGCCCCTTGAGCTCTGCTTTCCAACAGATCAGCTAGTGCAACTTTTTATCCTTAAGAGTCTGTATTTGGCCTCGCTCTCCATAAGCGCCACTCAAAACTTGGAGCTCTGCAATATCCTTCTCTAAGCTTCTTATATTTTGAATAGTGTCCCTAGTGACATTAGAAGTAAATTGTTTACATAATTCCTGTATCTTCAAATTTCCAATATCCCACCATTGATGTATAGATGTAAAGTTACACTTTTGGGTTTTCCATCCCATCCAAAAGAAAAGTAAACATTTTTCAAAAGAAGCATCTTTAAGCAAAGCACTATTAAAGTGCCAATATGCACTCTTATGCTTGACAGACTTAATAAACATACAAGCTTCCACCATTGAATGGTCAGAAAAGCCAACAGGATGAATACAACTAGATTTAACAAGACTTGTCTGTTTCTTCACACAGGTTAAGATTTTCTTTTCACTGTTGGCACTTTAACCTGTTAGCCATCCAGTGTTCCGCCCGCGGTACACTACATACTTCGAGGGTTAACTTTGTGAAACACACAAAAAATTAAAAAACGTTAAACGTGTCATATATCTTTGGAAAGCTGAGATTCTTTTTAAGATACAATCAACACAGCAGGTACAATCAGTGTCTTTGTCAGACCAACAACAACCAAATAAACAATAACAAAACTGAAGGAACTCACCTATGAAGCCTCCTGTTAGTCCACTAGTTCATTATATTCCAACAAAAATGGTGTAGTTACACTGTAAAGGGTCCAGACTATCCAATTCAGGGAAATATTTAGTCCATAACACATTTATATGTTGATAAACATCCACGGAGTGTAGGAGTATCATTTCAGATTAGCCGACGGAGCCCTCACCGCTTCGGCGCATTCTGCAGTATAGCTCGTGTTTGCATGTAAACAACACGGAGAAATCGATGTTAAAATGGCCGCTGAACTCTGCCCTTTTGATTGACACCTTATTTGAGCCAATAGCTGCATCTATGAGGTGTTTACAGGCAGAGATAGCCAACTAGCACCCAGAATGACGGATGAGGCCGCCTCTCTTTGATCGACAGTAGATCGATCCAATTGCATCAGAGTTTGCAAATGACTGTCGTTTCTGATAGCCAATGACCTTCTGAACAGAATAATATGTGACTTGAGTGGGCGTCTTTGATATATCAGCGCAGAAGTGCGTGCGCAAAGGATTACAGAGACTGGTGCATCTGAGCATAATCGGCGCTCTATGAGAGACACGGGGAAGAGGTGGTTAGCGGTCAAAAACTATCAAAGAGAACGCGAAAAACAACCCGTTTGTTCTAAGACGTTGTTATGCAATGTATAACAATAAAATTGTCCGGAAAATAAAAGTGTTTTTTGCCGGAGCGAGAGATATTTTATCCATTGAAGCAGATGAGCGGATATGGCTTTGTTAGAATGGAGACGCCGCTCTCAACAAGTAAGTGCTTTATTATATTATATAATTATATTTATATATATTTTACATATAATTATGTATATTATACATTTTACTGTATATATTGAGGTATGTGTTTGTATTTTGTGGTTGATGTGTTACCGCTAACTTCTGTCATGTGTGTGTGTGTGTGTGTGTGTGTGTGTGTGTGTGTGTGTGTGTGTGTGTGTGTGTTTTTTTTCAAATGTATAGCTTTTATATATGACTTACAGTGATGTATACTGTAGTGTTTTATATTGAAGTTCAGTGCAGTAGTTTGTTAGTGCAGAAGAGAAGATGGAGCTGCATGTGTTCTCTGCTATACAGTGCTGTCAGAGTCAGTGTGCTGGTTTGTAGATGGAATCCAGTGTGAGGGGTAGTGGTAGGTGGGTAATTATCGTTTTGCTATCTGGTTCGGGTCCTGATCCTGCGGTATCGTCTGCCTGATGGTAGCAGTGAGAATGATGATCTTCGTGCTTTCCTCACACATCTCTGTGTGTAGATGTCCTGGAGGGAGGGAAGCTCACCTCCAACGATGTGCTGGGCTGTCTGAACTAGTTTCTGCAGGGCTTTCCGGTTGACAGCGGTGCAGTGCCCGTACCAGGCGGTGACGCAGCCAGTCAGGATGCTCTCCACAGTGCAACTGTAGAACTGTCTGAGGATTTTTGAGCTCAGACCAAATTTCTTCAGTCGCCTGAGGAAGAAGAGACGCTGGTGGGCCTTCCTCACTACTGACTGTGTGTGAGTAGTCCAGGTTAGGTCCTCGGTGATGTGAACGCCGAGGCACTTGAAGCTGCTGACCCGCTCCACTGGAGTCCCATCGATGGTGATGGGGGAGTGCTCACTGGTCCGTCTCCTGAAATCCACCACCAGCTCCTTGGTCTTCTTGATGTTCAGAGAGAGGTTGTTGTTGTAGCACCTGTTAGTCAGTTAGTGCACACCTCTTCTCTGTGTGTGTGTGTGTGTTTTATGTGTTTGTGTTTGAGGTGTTCTTGCTAACTTCTGTCATGTGTGTGTGTGCGTGTTATATGTGTTTGTGATTTGAGGTGTTCCTACTAACTAATGTTGTGTGTGTTGCTTTTTTTTTTTATATCACAGACAATCATCTGACATTGAATCGAGTGAAGTCTGGGAGCCAGTCAGCAAAAAGCCATATATTGAGGGACATGATGACAGCACCTCTGAAAAAAATC